GAATCGCTGTGAATTATAGCGTGTGCTTATAAAAGTAGTTAAGTTTAAAGTGACTGTGGAAATTCTGTGTATTGCAAAGTTGTATCGAGAAAGAATAAACTAATTTTAATTAAGAAAGGGCTTGTATCGCTGAAGTTTCTCGGAAATAATTTCTACGGGAAATTAACAAACAAGCGGATATGTAACAATATTTCAAACCCAAACATATTTCTGAAAAAATCTGTAATCTGAGATGAATTATTAACATACCTCAACCAAGATCTTTATTATTTTTTTTTGAATTTATGATAAATATACAAATTTGTAACACAAAAAACAAGGTTTATCCTAGATGGTGCCAACTATAAAAAAATTAAGTTTTCCATTGCTCTTTTATTAACATCATTACCGTGTTTCTGTGGCTATTTTGTTGACACATTAATTCACCGATAATTGTACACTTCTTTCTTGCCATTGGTTATTTTTATAAGTAATATAAAATTTAATAAAAGGATATGCTACATTTCAGAGCTGGTTGAGATGCAAGAATTTCTATGTTTTTTGTTGTTGTTGTTGTTGTTGCTTCACCTAAACAGGTTACTGTGGTATATATATATTTTTTGTCTTCTTCATACTTATAATCCGTCATTTAATAAAAATTCATTTATATAAACACTATGAGAATTTATGGAAAGAGATGTAAAAGAAATTTTGCAAAAGAAATTGATTTATTTGCTTACTAGATTTTTATATGCTATTCTGTGAACCTTACTTTCCTATGAGAATTCATGCCTGCTTTTTCATTTTGAAGCCCTCCAGTGGCTCAGTGGTAAATCTGAAGGCTTATAACGCTAAAATCCGGGTTTAGCTACCCCGTGGTGGACACAGCACAGATAGGCCCCCCAGTGGCACAACGGAATGTCTGCGGACGTACAACGCTAGAATCCGGGTTTCGATACCTGTGATGGGCAGAACACAGATAGCCCATTGTGTAGCTTTGTGCTTAGTTACAAAGAAACAAGCACAGATAGTTCATTGTGTAGCTTTGTGCTTACCTTCAAACAAACAAATTTTCGTTTTGTTTATATTCGTCTAATATATTTTCTTATACCATTTTATAATATAATTTCCTTTTGTTTTGTGTGTTTAATTTTTAATACTATTTGATTTCAAACATTTATAAATATCCCATAAAAAAAAAGATTGGGAATAAGAAGAAAAATTAATTACTGAAGTTTCGGTAATTATGACCAAAAACAAAAATAAGCGAAATTTATTAGATGGTCTTGGTATATTCTACTTGAATTTCATCTTACGCGACACTTGATTTAAACAACCAGTTGCCCTCCGATGGGTCAGCTGTAAGTTTACGGGCTTACAACGATTCTCCTCAGTGGACATAATGCAAATAGCCCATCGTGTAGCTTTGCAATAAGAAAATAACAACAATTCTTAGATACATGGGACTCGGGTATAATAGTCCCTTATTTCATGGCCAGGTGGTTAGGGCGTCCCCACGAATAGCCCAAGAGTTGCCGGTGAGTGGTGATGACTAGCTAAATTAAGTACGGCTAGCGCAGATAGCCTTCGTGTAGCTTTGCGCCCAATTCAAAAGCAAGCAAACGTCCCTAATTTTGAACTACTGATCAGAGAGCTTCGGGTCGAATAACGGGATTGACTGTCACACTTATAACGTTCATTTTGTTGGCATAAAGGCGGTTTTATTATTTTTCAGTATATTTATTGGTGACGTTAAAATATAATGTACTACAATACTTCTAATATTAATTACCCATTATTTCTCCGAAATTACAGAAATAGTCTTCTTTGAAGAGAGAAAAAAACGAAGGAATTCATTTACAGGTTATATTACAAGAAAAAGCTTGGCAATTTGCTGAATCAAGGATTATTACTGGTGAATCAAAACTCAATGATAAAAAGTGATTCAAATTTATACTGAATCAAATAACGAAGAAAAATACGCAAAGACTTCAAAACGGTTAACAAACGGTATGTTTAAGCAAGAAATTATAATTTTAGTAGCTTGTAAAAAAAAAAAAGCCTCATTCTGTGTATAACACCAAACAAACAAAAAACGAAAATTAGGAAGAAGAGAGGGCATGTTGAAAGAATAATACATGGGATGAAAAATACAACATTGAATACCAGTTTTCAGACAACTATTAATTTGTGAGAATATAATTGAAAACATTGCGACCCAAATAGCAAAACACAGAAGTCAAACCTATTTCTAGAGTGAGACGACGTTCTACACTGAGGGCATCTTCAGGTATACATATATATATAATAACAATGTTTTTTTTTTGTTGTTGTTGTTGTGTTTTTCCTTCTTTGTTTTTTTTTTTTT